ATTTGAGGCAACCTACGATTTCGGCATTTCTGAGGAAATGTGCGAAACATTTCGTTCTCCTGTGCCGAGATTTGAACCCGGAATATAAATCAGGAATCCTGACTGCTCGATCGCGAAGTTTGGTTACCTTCGGTCTGAAGTAAATGGAACACTTTACAGGGAATATTACGAGGGGTTAGTTGAACACTAAACTGCCTGTTTCATAATCAAGAATACGGTCTCATGGTGCGTCGCGCCATGTAATTTGATAGACACCAACGTTTCGGAAGAACCCGCTCTGTTCTTTGTAAAGCCTCCCGGGCGCCTCACAAGAGGACACCGCGTCGCTGCGAAGCAGACTGTACCGCGCTGGACCACACAAAAGGCTCAGCGGACTGGATAATTAGGCAACTCTCTGGGGGTTTTCATTACCAAACAATGACAAGTGGCTGCAGTGTTGTGAATACATTTCCCGGGATCTTCCATTTCATATGAACGATTCAATTAGAATCGACTTAAAGCAGCTCTCGAAACACGGAGTGCTTTGACTTTCAAAAATTTCCTGTGGGCTGCGTCACTTAAACCTCATGTTTGCAACAAACATCTATATCTGTCTAATAGTTGGTATGGAATGCTAACACATGATCGGAAGATAATATTAAAATGGTTCTCAAGGTGTGGACTGGGTTCATCTGACTCAGGATAGAGTCCGGTGACGGTCTGTTGTGAACAGGGTAATGAACTTTCGAGTTCTATAAAGGCGGTGATTTTCTTCAGTGGCTCAGGGACTATCAGCTTCTCATGAACGATTACGCCCTGGGGTAGTGACCACACCTGTCGGGCAGATTAGCGTTCACAAATGCGACACGAATAAACACGTTTCGTTAGTTGGGCCCAAAGATAAATATGCACTTAGGCCTACTCTGCTAGCCTCATGGAGAGAGTCACCAAACTCAACATTCTGGGCGGTAACGCACATCATCAAAACCGCCGCCTCGTCAGGGCGAATCGCCACTTTCTGTTTAACCTCGCCCATCATTTCACATATGAAATGCCAAAAGTAGGTCTACTGAGTACGGGCAGCTGTCCAGAAACTCAAGGGATAATGTACACAACACGTTCTTGAAAGGTTCTATCTTCTGGGCTACAAGGCTTGTAGTTCGGCAAGAGTCACCATACGTTTCGGAGGAATATACTGCCTCCATCTTCAGGATCGAAGAATAAGCCAGTCAAGAAACCAGCATCAGTACTCAACATCCAAAACAGAGATCACGTTCTTAGCGCAGGACTTCTACATGTTGTGTCTAAAACATCTTAGAGTATGCGTCACCATCCAAGAGTGGCGTCTGTCTCTAAGTTGTAATTAGAAAGTGACTCAATCCTGCATACCATGTACTATGGGAGCCAAAGTGGCCACACCATGGAGCTTACTGTGAAAGGTTGCCTATTAAAAGTGTGACATACTCTCAAAGATATTTTAGACAAAATGCATAGTAATGTTGAGCCTCATTTACTGATTGATATAAGGCTCAGACTACTGCGATACAACTTTCTTTTCATGATGACATTTTCTTTGTGAACAAATTCAGATGTAAGGACAAATAGCAGGCAAGTTAGCAACATACAATCCCTGATAATCACATCCTTTGAAGCCACTGGCAATGCTGTCCAGCTATCTGACTTGCTCCATTGCTCCTCAGCAGCAGCACAGGGCAGAAAAATGAATAAATACAACACTAACTTTAAATAGTGCTTGACATCAGACAACTGCACTTAATGTCTGTTTTCACGACCTCTGAACATTACAAACTAGTAAGGAAATTGGTCTAGACGTAAACACAGAAAGAAAAATAAAAGTATACGTTGCTATCACTTCACCAAAATGCAGGGCAAAATCATGACATAAAGATAGGACAAAGATGCTTTAAAAATGTGGCACAGTTCAGATATTTGGGGACAATAACAAATCAAAGCCTGATTCAAGAAGAAATTAAGAGGAGACTGAATTCGGGTAATGCTTGCTACCATTCAGTCCAGAGACTTTTGTATTCTCATCTGCTGTCTTAAAGCATAAAAATAGAATATAAAAAGTATAATTTTGCCTGTGGTTCTGTGTGGGTGTGAAACTTGGTCTCTGACATTAAGGGAGGAACACAGACTGAGGGTGTTTGAGAACAGGATACTGAGGAGAATATTTGGACTGAAGAGGGATGAAGTGACAGGAGGTTGGAGAAAACTGCATAATGAGGAGCTTCATATCTTGTACTCTTCTCCAAGTATAATTAGAATGATCAAGTCAAGGAGAATGGGATGGGGAGGGTATGTAGCACGAAGGGGGAAGAAGAGGAATGCATATAGGATATTGGTGGGAAAGCCAGATGGAAAGAGACCACTGGAGAGACCAAGGCATAGGTGGGTGGACAATATTAAAATGGATCTAGAGAGGGATAGGATGGATTGGACTGATCTGGCTTGGGACAGGGACCACTGGAGGGCTCTTGGGAACATGTTATTGAACTTTCGGTTCCATAAAATGCTGGGAAGTTCTTGAATAGCTGCACAATTGGCAGCTTCTCAAGAAGGGCTCAGCTCCCATGTGTGAATGATTCATTTCATGAATATTTAACTGTTATGCATATGAAAATAACCATATAGCAAAGATCTTGTTGAGAAGCTAACAGTTTCTCAGCTTCTCAAAAAATTTCCTTACATTTTGTGGATCCCACGGTTCATTATCATGTTCACAAGAGCCTACCACTGGTTCCTATCCAATTAATCCAGGCCACACTCTCACAAGCTATTTCTTTAAGATTCATTTCAATATTATCCTCTCATACATGTCTAGTCTCTCTTCCCTTCAGGTTTTCCAACTAAAATTATGTATGAACTTCTCTTCTCTTCCAAGCATGCTACATATTGTCACATGTATGAGTGACTATAGACGGTGTTTGGATTGGTAATTGGATTTATTGAACACTTACAGACCATAACTACAAGTAACGACAGTGCTATTGCTAATTCACACACTCTACAGTTCACTATAGCACACACCAAGTCCTCTCAGTCTGCTGAATCTTCACCTATCATTGTACGAGTATTGTAACAGCTTCCTCAGCTTGTGTTCACGTTCTTACTCGCCAGCAACTGGCTCACTCCCAGGCTGGCGGCCACCTCACACCAACCTCCTACTCTCCTCACTGGCATCTCAATCGCAGCTGCTCTGTTATGTCTTGGACCAGACCCCTTCAAACAGCCATTCTACTGCTGCAGCCATTACCTAGCAACATCCGTTGTTTACATAGCCATTACTTTAAAACGACTATTGCACAGCTACTTATTTTGCAGTCCTTGCTTGGCAACTGGTCTACATGCCATTCTCTCCTGTTCCTGATCTGAGCACCCTAGCAGTGTTTCAATATGTAACTTCCCCACCCTTGTCATTTCCTCCCCCTTAGGTCTGAACACTCCCTTCAGCACAGTTCTCAAACAACCTGTCTTTTTTTCCTTGGGATGACAGACAAAGCTTCACACCGATACAAAACAACAGGTAAATTAAAGCTTTGTAAATTTTAATTCTTGTTATCTTTAGACGTCAGGGAGGACAAAGATGAACTAATGGTATTGAGTATTACCCAAATTTAATCTGCTCTTAATGTCTCTGTGAATGTAATTTTGTTTTGTTACTGTCATAACAAACTATTTCACCTTTGCCACATTTTATGGAATGTACATATGTACATACTGCGGCAGAATCTCAAAGTACTGCACTGAACATAAGTTTCCAAGTCTTTAATGGAATGTGCCATGTAAAATCACTGCATCACATCAGTTAAGTGAAAATGTTGTTATAGAGTATGTTGCAGTACATTAAATGCATGATGTATTTCATCTTAACTGGTTTCTACTCTTTACACATGACACATGGTTAAATAGATTGTAACGTCAGCACAGAGGATGGGCTTCCCTTTTAGAACAGTCCATGTCTTATCTGTGGTGGACAAATTTCCCTTCAATTACTTCAGTTTTCCCCTGCCAATCATACTCCATACTTACCTATCACCATCCTTGAGGGTTGTGAAAGGCTAGGCCAGCTGGCATATAAGAACAACTTCAATTCTCTGAACCAGCATCTGACTGGACAGGAAGTGGGGGACTTTTTTAACAGGTCTCAAATTGGTTTATGTAATAAACTTTTCAGATGTATAGCCCTCATGGGCTATACAATACTATAATACAGTTCAAAATTTACAAGAATCATTGTATATACTTGACAATCGGCCTGGGTGGCCCGAACACATCACTGACTTCACATGAAAGCATACACTAAGTCGAGAGTCAAGCAATAACCTGTGAAGCTGCAATGGAGCTCTCTGCATGCATGTGCATGTGCACGTGTGTGTGTATGTGAGAGAGAGAGCACATCTAACAAGGAAATTTAATTAGTTCCATAGAAGTAACTCATTACACTCTGCCCTCAGCTTTAGCATATCTGATCTAAAAGACAGATAAAACTGCAGTAACACTGATGTTATCTGGCATTCTGGTAAAGCTAATTACACTGTGACATTTCACATAATCTCAAGCTCATGCAATTTACACGTGTTATACTGAATGCACTGCAAAGTATGGCTCTCCAAGTGCTGAATATTGTCATGTGATAAATGATGATACATGGGTTTTGGATTGGTAATCAGATTCACTGAACTCTTAAACAACTCGTAACTACAAATAACTACAACAATCTCACACATTCCAAAATTCACTGTAACTACAAGAGACATAAAGTCTTCTAAGTCGTCACTAGCTGTTGCTTGGCAGTGGCTTCCAACAGCAGATATTACCCTTCCTCTGTATTCCCAAACTGTCCCCGGCCTCAGCTACCAGCTTCTCACTTACCACAACTGCAATTCTCAACAGACTCAACCAATGACTCAGAATCAGGGTCAGAGTTACTTCATGACCGGCAGTTTAACACTGATCAGTTTGATTTCAAGCACTATGAGGCTCATGACCAGAGGGTATTTTTTTTTTTTTTTGCAACTAATCCCTTGCAGCAATTGTCCTCATGTAACATCCTCTCTGATGAACAGACAGATTTCTCTCTCGTGAATAGACTTTGCCCTTGTCAAGTGTACGTATCACATACACTGCATGTTATTGAAAAATTTTTCCTGTGCACCATCCTCTGTCAGTCCAGGCTTTGCAAGCAAAACTAGTCCTCATTATACAGTCCTCGCATGGACCGCACAGAAAAGGTCTCTTCCATTACTGCGTGTACTCTCACACTGCTGAGGAAACGTGTCCACACAGCTGTTCCCTAGCAGTGGCTGTGTAGTGTCACCTGTTTACATAGCTCTCACTTGGCAATATATTAAGACTACAGTCTTCTGAGACGTGACATTGTGTAGTTTGGTAGAGGTGTACCAATGTTTAGACTCCGAACATGGGGGCAGTATGCTTCTTCAAAATGCTGGTACCTATAAACAGAACATGAATCTCAAAGAAATTAGGTGTCCTTATTGTGAAAGGAATGTTGAAAATCTTTAAGGGTAAGCCAAGCAAGAAACCAACGTGAGTGTGACGTCCCAGATGACAGAACTCTTCAGAGTTACAACTGTGAGAACCTCAAATTCTATACTGAACATTTATTTGACAAAGTGGTAAAGCTGTGGAGGCCCATAGGGTTGTGACAAGTCTAGGCTCCCACATTTTCTACACAATCGGCTCACAGATGGCAGTGAGATTGTCAGCCTTATGCACTGGTCATCCTTTACTCCCAAAGATTCCTAGTACTCATTTGTGTTTGAGGCTGAGTTGACCCCAGGGCCATAGTACAGCTGCAAGGATTAGGTAAACTGAAAATTCCAATGACCTCATCAAGAACCAAACCTGTTACCTTCCAGTTTTCAGCATAGTGCCTCAACCAACTCTACCACGTGACTCCATCTGGCAAAGAGCAAGAGGGTGAAATTAAATCTGAAATATGTGATGGGCATCACCAAGTCTTGTTTTTTTTTTTTTTTAAGGCTTAAGCCATTTAAAGTTACATTTGCTGCTCACCCTAGATAGAATAATTTTGTTAAATGCTTTTATTCTTTGGTAATAATGTTTGGTATATTTCCTTCTCTTCAATTATTACTCTTTCAAAAATCCAGGGGGGACATGAAAATAAAATTCAGTATTCCCATCTTCGTAGCATTACTGGAATCACAAAGTTAGAGATTTTCTTAAACTTTCAAAACCTCTTCTACTTGCAACAAATTGCTATTAGGAAACGCCCACTATTTTCTGCATGCTATCAAGCATGAATTATTTACATCCTGTCCACAATTCACTGTGCACTCACAAGCCCCGCTCACATTCCAGCCATAGTGGCTTGTACTGAACTTAAGTAACAGATGTAACACAGGGAGCAAGTATAATCCCAGTGATACTCATGTATGTACAATGTTGCAGGCTATTCCAAACACAACTGGAATACATGCACCTTTCTGACATTACATGTGTAAGTGATGGTTTTGAATCTGCCATCAGACTTCACTGCAAAACACAGATTATGGTAGTGGCACATAAACTGTACATGAATTGATAACTGTTTATGCATCTATCAAATGACACATTTACTATGTTACCACAGCCAAGATGAGAATCACAGCATATTAAATGACTTGTAGCTCCACATTAAGGACAAATTTTATTCAGATGACCAGAAAACTGTCTACCATCACATAACTGACAGGTTCTTAACTGTTATCACAAAAACCTGCAACAGGACACTTCAATCGTTCAAACCAGTTGAAATCCTATCTTCCAGACATGGTTCAACTTATGATTAGTCTGTGAACCTCAGAGATTCATCTCCATTATCACAGACACTCAAATGTTCAAACCAGTTCATGCCTGCACCTTGAGAGGACAAATCTCCAGGTACCTGAATGAGATCAGCTACTACCTTAGAACACAGCCAGCTTTTTGCGGTCCTTCCTTTGACTCTGCTCCAGGCTGATGCTGCGTTCTGAGGCGCGCAGTTTGTTCAGCTCCCCCTGTCTGCCTTCCAGCTTGCTGAAAATTGTGGCATGAGTAGGTGACCCTTGTGTGTGACGTGAGAGGGACTCTTGTAGGCGTATCAAGTCTCTCTCAGCCTTTCGGATCTCCTCACCCACACGGAACTGAATGACATTCAGCCCTTGGCATGACTCTGATTTCAATCCTTTGTCTCTGTTAGGTGGTTTAGAAGCTGAGGAAGGTTCTGGTGCTAGATCATGGACAGTACCTGCAACAGTTAGACGCCAATTCAACTAACAACATATTTACTGCCTGAAAGTTGATTTGTTCTGGCACACTTTAACCATTAGAATATGCTGGGACATTACAACACTTCCTCTGGCCTGTAACATTCATATCACAAAAATGGAGCCCCATACATATTCTCCCATCTCGTGACCAAAACCGAAGGTATCATGGATTATATTAAGATCTGAGTGACACATGTTAAGAAAGCAACTTTGTCTGCTGCAAACCTGTCTTGTCACCAAGTTTGCTGTTTATGAAGTCAAATACGTTTGTTCGTTGGTTATCCCGTTCATATTGCTTTTGATTTTGCTGGTCATGCTTCTGCTGCAGCCTTCTCAGTCTCTTCTCCACTTTGAACAAGTTCATGTCACCGCCTGCTTTTTCCCTCAATGCCATGCAGTGATCTATAACAGAGAGACACAACCTGGAATTCTGAAGTCTGACTCTTAAGCCCAACAGGCTCCCAGCTTACTGACATGGACAGTATACCATACATACCCAGTGACTTGCCAGCTGGGAACACAAGCGCTTCCACAGGTTCCAGACGACCCTCTCCACTTCTCCCCAGACCAGTGCCCATCACATAGCCCATCTGGGCCATCAGGCGAGAGCCAATACCCTAAAGTGGGGCATGACAACAAAACCGATGTAAACTAAACTATATGTCCTTGCTTTTGATCTGGCCAATGTCAGAAATGAAGTCACATCCACGGACTAAAGTTGTGGTAACGTGTTGGTCGTATCATTACAGGGCAAATATGGAAAGATGTGCTAACTGACCCTTGTGTGCTTCTCCCAGTCCCTGAAGGCTGGTGAGGCAGGTGTGGTGAACAGCGGCTGTTTAACCAGCACAGGATCCACCCCAATGGCCAATTCATCCCCACTGCTTTCATCACTGCTGCTGTCTTCAGAAGCCTGTGCATCACCTGCAAGCAGCATGCCCAGCCAATCACATATCACTGGCATCTTTATGGCAGAACACTAACCTGTCTCACATGTGCCATCAAGAGTGTTCTTTGGACGGGAGAACAGCCAGAAAATTTGGACATAAATTTATATTTAGGCTGCTTACAACCATTTTCACTGGTTTCCCTGAAATATTTTGGACAGAAGGATACTGCTAATGCTCTTCAGTATTGGTATTAATATGGGGAATATTTCCTTTGTTTTTTCTATTTTGATTTTTTCAAAAAAAACTGGGGAGGGAGTGAGGATGCTTCCCCAGCTGGTGCCTTTGCCTCTCACGTCATTAGTCAGTACAATAGGAATAAGTCAAATCTATGAAAAATACTGAAGAGATCTATCTTGACAGAAGATGTACAGGAGCACTCAGCACCTCAGCAAAACATTCAACAGACTGGTGATGATGACTTACTGATTAGTAGTGATTGGCAATATGGGTTCCTCAATCAGAAATATTTAATGAATTTCAAACAAATACACGAGAGCTATTCAGAAAGTAACCTCTGGTGAGCAGTTAACAAGACAAGAAATGAGAAAAAAAATTATCATACACAAAAAATACATACATACTTAAGCTACTTCCCCATGTGGTCACCACTGGAACTGATGCATTTGTCTTATCAGGAAATAAGTTTTTGTATGCCTGTGTCATCCAGAGTGAGATCAGGGCTGTAAAGGGGGTGGTCAAACAACTCCCAGGTGAAATGTTCCAGCAGTTCTCAAGTGCATGCAGCTGTATGGGGATGTGCAGTGTCATGGAGGAACACTACACCGGATATCAGCAATCCACGTCTTTCCTTTTTTCTGAATGGCCCTATGCAGTTATTTAGTGTTTTACAAGATAAAACGTGGCTGAGCTCACAGGCAGCTGCCTTCATTACACAGGCATACAAAAACTTATTCCCCAATATGATAAGTGACTCAATTCAGGCAGTGACAACATTGAGAAGTAGCTTAAGTATGTACATACTTTTCTGTATATAATACAGTATGTAGACCCATTACTAGCTAACGACTGCAAATAAACAGGTTCCCACAGCAACAAATCAACACACAACAACAAAGGAACTGTTGGAAGAGGCGTTTTCTGTGGCCAATGCCATGACCACTGCCATGCAACAGAGCTGTAAACATGCCTCTGCAGCATCAGTTGAACTACAATAAAAGTCCTGTGTTTTCTACATGGTTAATGCAACAAGTTCAGAGCTGAGTTCAGTTGCGAGGTGCGTGCCAGGTGCAATGGACGTTAAGTGGACAGTGTTAAAACCAATTCCCAGAAGACTTTATGTGTGCTTTATGTGTAACAGTGATAACCATATCAGAATATTGTTGGATCACATGGACTAGGAAGACAGAATCACAGGGGTCAAATGCTTACTGACTTTTGTGAACGAAATGGACTGACTGTTACCAACACTTGGTTCAAGAAGCCAAAGAGAAGAATTTACACAAGGAAGGCACCTGGGGATTGGAGGTGGCATCAGCTGGACTACATCCTTGTGAAACGTCGATTCAGAAACAGTGTGAAGGATGTGAAGACGCTTCCTGGGGCAGATATTGACTCTGACCACAACTTACTGGTTGCCAAGTTCCGAACCAGGTTGAAGAAAATTATAAGATTTCGAAAGCGCAGACCCAGATGGGATTTGGAGAAGTTATATGCTCAAAGACAAAGCGTGCAAGAGACCCTAGAAGAGAAACTCGGTGCAATTGAAGGTGAAAGCGGAAATGCTGAAGCGCAGTGGAACGATATAAAAGAATGCATGTTAGATACTATCAGTGATTTGGTAGGTAAAGTTGAGAAGATAGCAAGAAAACCATGGGTTACACAGGAGATGATGAGTAAAATGGAGGAGCGAAGGAAATGGAAGAATGTCAACAATGAAGAAGGCAGGAGGAAATACAGGAGACTGAGGAATGAATTGAAAAGAGCCACGGACAGGGCCAAAAAGGAATATCTTGAGAAGATATGTAATGAGATTATGGAATTTCAAAGAACAGGCCGTTATGATTTGATGTACATGAAGACAAAAGAACTAGGATGGAAAGAGAATCATGGGATTCAAAATGTTGGCATCGAAGACTCCCAGGGGAATAGAATAGTAGATCAGAGGCAAGTGCTGAAAATTTGGGAAAATTATATTTCAGAACTATATGATCGACCTAATCGGCCAGAAACCTTAGAAGTTGAACCGGAAGAAGAAGTAGATACAGACGAGAAAGGACCATATATTTTACAAAGTGAGGTGGAAAAAGCTATCAAGGAAATGAGGAAGGGAAAGGCTACAGGAGATGATGATGTACCTGGAGATGTGCTCAAGTTACTGGGAGAAGGTGGTTTGAAAACACTGACAAAACTAATGAACACCATATATGAAAGTGGAGAGTGGCCCAAGGACTTTACAGAAGTTACAATGATTGCCTTAAAGAAAAAGACAAAAGCTACAAAATGCAGCGACCATCGCACAATAAGTCTTATTGCACATACAGCAAAGATAATAGCAAAGATACTTAAAAGAAGAATTGAAAGGAAAATAGAGGATGTACTTGGAGAAGATCAGTTTGGATTTAGAAGAGGAAAAGGAACCAGGGATGCAATTGGGATGATGAGAATTATAGCGGAACGAACTTTGGAGATAGATGAAGAACTGTGTGTTTGCTTCATAGACTGGCAGAAGGCATTTGACCGGGTAAACTGGACCAAATTAATGCAGATCCTGAAAGAAACAGGTATCGATTGGCATGAAAGAAGATTGATTAGCAAATTGTACATGGATCAGAAAGTTAGAGTACGACTGGACAGGGGGGAGACAGGAAGTGTGCAGATTGGAAGAGGAGTTCGACAAGGATGCTGTTTATCACCAATTCTGTTCAACTTGTACAGCGAATGCCTTACCAAGGAAGCTCTGGATGGGCTCGGTGACTTCAAAGTAGGAGGGCAAATTATTCAAACTGTGAAATATGCAGATGACCTTGTGTTAATGGCTAAGGAAGAAACTGTGCTACAGGGCATGATTGATAGACTAATTGAAATTGGAAGGTGCTATGGCATGGAAATGAATGTGGAGAAAACAAAAGTAATGAAAATTTCGAGACAACCAACCCCAGTCACAATAAAGATAGACCAAAAACAACTGGAGAATGTGAAATGTTTTAAATATTTGGGTAGCTTGTTAACAGATGATGGAAGGTGTACTTGTGAAATTAAATCCAGGATTGCCATGGCAAAAGCTGCATTTAGCAAGAAGAAGAATCTTTTTACCAGCAAATTGGACTTAAATTTGAGGAAGAAACTAGTGAAATGCTACATTTGGAGCATAGCTCTGTATGGGGCTGAAACATGGACACTTAGGGCAGTAGATCAGAAACATCTGGAAAGTTTCGAAATGTGGTGTTGGAGAAGGATGGAGAAGATCAGTTGGACCGATTATGTGAGAAATGAAGAAGTGTTAATTAGAGTCAGTGAGCAGAGGAATATCCTACACGAAATAAGAAAACGGAAGGCTAATTGGATTGGTCATGTTTTACGCAGAAACTGCCTTCTAAAAGAAGTTATCGAAGGAAAGATAGATGGGCAGATAGAAGTGACAAGAAGACGAGGAAGAAGACGTAAGAAGATGCTGGATGACCTTGGGGACAGAAGAGGATACTGTCATTTGAAGGAGAAAGCTCTAGATCGCATTAAGTGGAGGAATTGTTTTGGAAGAGACTGTGGACCTGTCGTCTTGACAGATTACTGATGATGATGATGATGATGATGATGACCTGTGAAGATCCTTCACACTGTGTTAGGTTTTTAGGTAATAGAAGTTTATAACTGGTTAATTTTGCACTAAATGGTTGACATGGTTTCGCAGTGAAGTGGCATTCAGCCTGTATGGCGCCATCCATCATATTGTCGGTCACTTGACCCCAGTTGACATCACTTGCGTGTTTGTAACATCATTCGGCTCGAGAACCATGTGCAGGGGCAAACACTTGGGACCGAGATAAGGACAAGAAAAGTGCTTGAGACAGTGGTGTTCTCCTTTACAACATATGCTGAAGAAATGCCATGTCTTTATCTAAATGTTAATAGAAGCACAATGACATACTATAAATTTTAATGGAAACTGGGGTGAATATATGAGCTGCAGTCTTCTGTTATGTGATGCTGTGTGGTTTGGTAGGTTGGAGGCACTGTTTTTGAGGAACTTCTTCCTCTTTCTTCAGGGTACAGAAGTGTTGTGTTCTGAAAATGGAAGCTGCACATTGCTCTAAAACATTCGTAACCATCACCCACATTATTTTCCGGAAGGCCACAATGATAAACTGTTCACTTGAACCCAAACCTGAACCAGGCAAATCCAGTCCACACCCTGTGGTGTTGGAGAAGGATGGAGATGATCAGTGGACCGATTATGTGAGAAATGAAGAAGTGTTAATTAGAGTCAGTGAGCAGAGGAATATCCTACACGAAATAAGAAAACGGAAGGCTAATTGGATTGGTCAAGTTTTACGCAGAAACTGCCTTCTAAAAGAAGTTATCGAAGGAAAGATAGATGGGCGGATAGAAGTGACAAGAAGACGAGGAAGAAGATGTAAGAAGATGCTGGATAACCTTGGGGACAGAAGAGGATACTGTCATTTGAAGGAGAAAGCTCTAGATCGCATTAAGTGGAGGAATTGTTTTGGAAGAGACTGTGGACCTGTCGTCTTGACAGATTACTGATGGTGATGAGTAACAGTGATATTATGAGTGTGTAATTCAGTGAGAATGTTATAGTTACTGTGTTAAAATCCATTACCAGGAAACGACTAGTGAAGACTGAGAAGATTTCATGTGTGCTGCAGTTACAGTGAAATTTTACAGTTATGTGCAGTTACAAACCATAAGTGGTCAATACATCCAATATCCAATCCAAAACCCCACTGAGAGTAACTCTTAACACGTGATTATAACTTTTTCCCTCACCATTTTCTTAACAGCTGACTGGAGGTTACTTTCCAAATTGCCCTTGTAAAAGCAGTTACGTTTAATTTTGGAGCCAAATCTGAGTGTTGTTATCATTCAGTGTTAATAGTTGGTAAATTATATTATATTTAAGCATCCTGTTACATTCCACACAATAATATTGAGTGCAGCGACAGCTACGTGATGTGAAATACACCCGATGATGGCCGGGTGCGGCTGAAACATGTAGTGTGAAAGAAGGGGGACAAGAACTACAATTAAGTGTTGCATTTATGACAGAGTTTATAGTATACACATAGAAGTTGGTAAATGGTCTGTCTAAAAAGGCTAAACTGTGAATGAAGTTTACTCATACTGAGTTGGTACAATATTTATGATAATGGATATCAAAAATAGTGACCACAGAGTTGATAACAAGGAGATGTGGATAGAACTATGCTGGACAAAATAGAAAATGATGCTTCCAAAATTCTTCATTGCCATGGGAACATGCTTACCACAGACACAGAGAGCACGGTGATCTCATAAGCCTACTTTTATTGTTTTGAAAGTAGGCTAGACATAATACCACTGTTCGCAGCTTTGACCATATAAAGTGAAGTGCTTCACATACTGACATTACAGAGAAATATGTCACAAGTCTCTAATCAACAGATATGAGCCAATACACAACTGTCGTTTGACCCTGCAAGCAGCCCCATCATTCAAATGCCTCTCAGATGGCACCACATGCAGAAATGTAGGCAGGAGGCATCTTACCATACACCATGTCAGTGCCCAGTCTTGGCTCTCTACAGATACACCTGATACATATCAGGGGCAGGGGTTCTAACTCTAGCATTAGCTATCTGCAGAGGGGTTCTAACAAGTTCTTGGGACCTGGTAGTGGTCTGGGTGCTTGGGGCAAATAGAAAGTCTCCTCCCATCAACACAATACAACTCGTGCACTTATATCTCTTCTTCTTGGCTGCAATTCTACGAAATAATGAGGCAGGCTCTGGTTACAAGCACAAAACATACCTAGCGGAAGAATCCAATGGAGGTCCACCTCTTTTGCCTTCCCACTTGATTCTAGCTTCACCTCACACTTGGTCTTGCTGCTGCATGTCAGCACAACAGCTCCATGCCACAGGTTGTCATCACCCTTCACAAGCACCCGCACTCCCGGACGCACAGCAGAGAAGTCAGGTTCCCTGTGGAAACAGAAGATTGTACGCTAATCACCTGCTTTGTATCGAGGTGGAACTATGCAGTCTGCCAGCATTATGATAGGTCTTCCTTGAGATGTTCATATTTATATCACTGGTAAAAAAACTCCTTGCATTATGGGACACGAAGGTTCATCGCTGTGTTCACAACAGCCCACCACTAGACACCATCCTAAGCCACTTTAATCCAATGAATTGTTTCACATCATATTTTTCAAACATCAATTCTAACAGTTAAATGAAATCTCCTCAGGCTATCAGCTGTTACTGATTAAAAATGAATGATGTTTCAAAGCCCACAACAAAGTTACATGGCTGAGGAGGACCCATGACAATTTCATTAACTGCAGCTGCCATCGAACCTTGTGAGCTTATGTTCTAACAGTATTTGTCTAAGGCCTCCAAATATGGTCCATGTTGACCTTCCTGACCTCTGACCACCTAGGGAAAGTAACAAAATTCATTTCTGCAGTGGAGGCAACCAGAAGGCAGACTCCGTTACCCCACTAACTGATTCAATACAACACTCTTGGTCAGCAGAGGGGTCCTTCAACTTAACGTCTGCTCTGAGCCACTAGGCTAAGCCTGGCATTCTTCACATTCCCAGAAGTTCTATATTTGGTATAGGCAAAGGTTTCTGAAAACAATGGTACCCCAAACTGCAGGATGTCACATTCTACATGACAGCAACTTTAATACTTAAAGCCATGAAAACTTCAAATGTCATCACAATTAATGTCCAGCCTCACTTGTACTCCTTCAGGGATGACAAGTCCACCAGCTCTCCATGAGAGAAGCGGCACTGCTCATCAGAGAAACGACAGGCGCCCTCCAGGTAGTAGGGACATGGCAGCATGTCTTGCTGTACAGGGTTGGTAAACATGACACGAACCTGAAAAAAGGTTAATCATTGGCTACAGGAAGCAGCCAGATGAAAATTTACACATTAATAAGAAATAAGTGGCTGACTAATTCAGGCACAGAAGAATATATCAAACAAATGATGAAAGAAATTTCTGCCATTGAGTGTCCAGAAACCCTCTGCCTGAGTTCATTGGTATGAAGAGATCTACACACCCAAATGTTCACAACCATTCTCACTATTTATTTGTTTATTCCTTATTTAACTAAGCTTTCTCGACTACACAAGTCACACATCATCAAATGAAAGAATAACAGGTGAATGATGGACTGTGAAGAGGCAGTTGTGGAGGGACTAATGGAAACCAATAGACAACTTAGACACAAGAGCTGAGAATCAGGCTTAGGACTGCCTGAATACAAGCACCTGTATCTGGTCCATGCTGCGGACACTGCTGGTCAGTTCGGCACCACACACCAGTGCATTGTGGTAGGTGACATCTCCCCACCTGCATTTGTGAGGGGCCTGACATTTCATCCCCTGCAGTGCATCCAAATCTTCCTGAAAAGAGCAACACGGAAGGAATAAATAATGTTCAGATATTCATATCCTACCCCATAGAAAGTACTCTGTATCTCCCTTACAAATACAGTAAAACCTGCCTTAAACGGACCCTTTGTTAAACGGAAATATTTTCAGGTCCCTTGACTTTGGGGCTGAAAAAGATGTTAAATAACCTGGATTAAACAGAAACTGTCTAACACGGACAATGGAAATCAAAATAAGCCTTTATATGGAAAATTTCCAGTCTTCCAGAATGCATCGTTTAGAATTATTTTAAGCATCCTATACATACTACAGAATTTTGTTTTCCCTAACTCTTTAAAATAAGCTTCTAACGGTACTGCACTACCTGCATTGAGATTCAGGAGAATTGTTTTCCCCTTCTGGAAATTGTATTCAGTAAGGGCTCTAGGCCTATAGTTTTACTTTAGTCTAGCAGTTGTCATCATGGCTACAAAGACAAGAGTTGTGCTTGATCTTAACACAAGATTAAAAGTGATTCATGCGAGTGAGCGAGATAAACTGTCTGTTAAGCAGATCATGAAGATCAATATTAGAGTCAATTTTACCGACCACACAACATATTTTTATTATTATTATTACACTACATGGTTCGACTTCAAGAGGTCATCCTCAGGTGTATGAACACAGCTGTATAATTACACGCAATCACATTCGTCTACTCACTTATTCGATCCTGTATCTTATTCGGGTCCACTCTCAATAATATATCAAGCTTCTCTCACAAAACACAAGTTAAAATATTATTATAAATGTCAAAATTCCAAATTTAAAATTTAAAATTTAAAATTTGTGAATCGAATTTCAATTCAGATCACTAGTTATGCTTTCACTTTCACTTCTTATTCAATCACTTCCTACTTACGCTCATCACTGCATCAAGTTCACTTTAACTAGTTTAATTATATTATTGGTTAAAAGTTCATGAATTAAAGTTCAATTTTATTATATTGATTGCACTTTTCACTTTTAGGAGGTCTCGCTGTTCTTCCGCGTCCTCTGATGTTGCTGGATCTGTTACAGTCCTTGCCGTGATGGCTACCGATGTGTCTTACTTGTTCGGTTGGTTCCTGTAGGGTATTAGTGGTGGTGATGGGGGGGGGGGGTGGGGTTTGGGGAGGGTAGTTGGGGGGT